TGGGGTTGGAGTTGAAGGTGATGGGGAAGCCTTTGAGTGAGAGTGCTGGTTTTTGCTTGGCCTCGTGAGTGCTGGTGGTGAAGAGGGTGCACTCTGTTTTTTCCGTACTGATCTCCATCCTGTTTTGCTTTGCCCACTGCTCAAGTAAGTTTATGGCTGCTTGGACACTGTTTTCAGCCTGATTTATGTCTTCGTTGGTGGTGTATATTGTATAGTCATCAGCATAGAGTCCCGTGTTCACGGCTTCAGGCAGGCCTGCTTCAATATCACCAATGAAGACAAGGAACAGTGTGGGGGACAGGACGCTGCCCTGGGGGACTCCCTGCTTGAAACGGCGAAGCCTGCTCGTTGCGTTGCCGTGCTCGACGCAGGCGCATCTGTCTCTGAGGAACGAACCTATCCATTGGGTAATGCGGCTGGGAGTAGCTTTCTCAATCATCTTCTCCATTAACCTCGTGCGCCATACCTTATCGAAGGCACACGAGAAGTCCACGAGGGCTAGCACAGTTCCTTGCATTTTGGGACGAGCCTGGAATCCGTCAGAGATTATGTTGCGTTAGGTACAGGACTTGGTCTTCAGTAGACCGTAACTTGCGGAAGCCCGATTGGTTGTTGCTCAGCAAGTTGTTGCTCTCCAGAAAGTACATCAGGCGGTTCTTGACGAGAGTCTCCGTCAGCTTGGCAAGGCAGCTGGTGAGACTGATGGGGCGGTAGGACCCAATCTTTCCTGCAGGCTTATTCTTCTTGGGTATCGGTATGATTTTGGCACGTCACCAGCTGTTTGGGACAATGTCCATTTCCCATGATAGGTTGAAAAGACGGAGCAGGGCAGAGGTTGCGATGGGTCAGAGGTGTTTGATCATTTCATTGGTTACACCATCAAGCCCGGGAGATTTGCCATTTTTCAGCTTTCCTATACAAACTGTCAGTTCAGCCATTGGGAGGAGAGAATCATAGCCTGTGTTCTGGTCAATAGGGAGGAGTTTAAGCTTTTCATTAAGCTGGTAGTGCCGGTGTTTGTCTGCCTTGTCGAGTTTTAGGCGGCTGCCTTGCTTCTATCTCCTTTTATGGTTTTATTGTTTACTGTGAGTGCACTGCCGGTGGAGGGGGTTTTCTTGCCTGAGATGGCATTTATGACTCGGAAGACTTGTTGAGGGTCAGTCGAGAGGGACATCTCTGAAGTAAAGTTGCG